TCACGGCCCTGGGCTGGGAACCCCCCCCCCCCCATACATGGTCTTCTACAAGGACACAGTTCAGCTGCAGCTGTACCTGCCCTTCTAACCAAAGGTTCTCTCTGCTTTTCACGTTAATCAGAACATTTTTACGTCTTCTGCTCCACGTCTCAGAGGTCAGCAGAAGAGTGGCATCTCCATGCCCTGAACATCAGGAGGCATTCTACATGGAGTGTTACAAGTCTTTATTCAGATCGATGCAGCTGTTGCAGCTGATTGTAGCCACTGACGTTAGAATGAAGTGTCTGTTTAGTGGCTTTGCAACTGGATCATCTCCTGTATCCGAATCTGTTAAGAGCTCATGATGGTCCCCCCCATCACCCATCTTGTGAGCTCCCTCAGTTGAGGCTGAAGCCTCATTGATGGCCTTTTGAGTGCATGTGCTAAGAACGCCAGTTTTAAACTGGTGATTGTCTTGTATTAATTGCTAGAATTAATTCATATCTAAGGGAGTCAGTATAGCCGTTCTAGTTTGAACTGGAGAATTTCTAATATAACCATGGACTGAATAATAGGCTATATTCAGTAGTTCAATAAGATCACCTATTGTTAATACTTTGTAAATTCATAAGGAAGTAGACCCCTGTTTCACCTTAATTCTCAGTTCATAGAGCTGGCTAGGAAAACATTCTTTTAAACTTGTATCACAGTGAAATAATTCCATTCTGTGTTCTGTCTCCTGAAGTACAACTCTAAGTGATATTAATTTCAGTTCTGATGTATAACATAACCTCTCCTTTTAAGCAGCTGAACCAAACAATTATTTACACACCTTCTTTCAAAACCAGGTAAATCCAGGTAATATATTGGATTTGGGGAGCAAATGGTTCTTTTAGAAATTGGTATTAGAGTACAGAACTTCTGGGTCACTAATGCATGTTTAGTCTGTTAACAATAAAAGGACTCTTTCTTCTAATCCTGAATGCAGAATGCTTAACAAAACACCAGTTCTGGACAGAGTTCCCTCTAAGATGTGCAGTAGCACAGCTTCACAGGTGCTTAATCAGCCCCGTCCCGTCAGAAGCTCAGTGTTCCATGCATGGAGCTGACTGACTGGGTGGGGCTGATTAATGGTTCTGGACACGATTCTTTTCCGCCCCCCCCCCCCCCCCCCCAGTATGTGCTTTGCCTTTTTAAAGGACAAATCCTCAGCATATTTTTTCATATTACTTAATCAAAATATATTTAATCTATTTTTATTTTATAATTTATTACATTTCCCCTTCATTATTGTAGGTGTGAAAAAAGCACATCGTGCTGTATCATTGATAACAGAAGAAATGGAAGAATCTTCAGAATATAGTGGAACAGAGAGTGATGACTAGTCTGCAAATAAATCTCTACCAATTCCTTTTCTTATTAAAGATTGTTTTGCCACCCTTATTCACATGAGTTTTTCCTTTAAAACGCTATGGAACTACTTGTAGAGTTTAAGGGGTGCAGGATGAAGTCTTCAATTTTTAGTAGAATAATAGTGAACAGAGCCCTTCATTGTGTTAAAATATGTTTGATTTATTTTTGGTGACTGGAATTTGAAATATTTTATGCCATGCAAAAAGGTTGTTATTTATGTTCCTCTCAATATTTTTCTTTAAAATAGCTTTGACACTTATTGATGGTATATTGTATAAAAGCTATGCTGCCCAGATAGGGAAAAAAAAAGAAAAGTAATATATTGGATTTGGGGAGCAAATGGTTCTTTTAGAAAATTGGTAATAGAGTGCAGAACTTTTGGGTCACTAATTCATGTTTAGTCTGTGTAAACAATTATTAAAAATTGTTGCCATGTTATGGCATCAGTGAAATTAAGTGCTGATTCTAAGTCCAATTCTTAGTGAACTGATACTGTTTGTGTGTGTCAGAATCAATTTCACTTTGGCACTAATTGGTATGTTTGCTAACAGTTCTGCATCAAGGTCAGGCTTTTAAAGGGGCCTGGAGACACAACTAACCTGGCAAGCCTCCTTTCAGATTAGAGTTAAGGTATATTGAGGTACAGATTGTACCTCCTGGTCCAACTCCTTCAGAACCTGACCTGAGTTCAGGGATTTTCCTGGATCAGGCAAGGTAATTTCTGGTCCCTCCTGCCATCAGCCCCGCCCCAGCCCTGGTCTGACTGCTAGCCTCCCAACCGCGTCTGTTCCCCCACCCCCCCTGCACACTGAGCTTCCAGCCCTGTCAGGCAGCCCCATGCTAGGCTTCTGGCATCTCTGCTGGCAGCTTACTGACCTGCTGGCCCACAGGGCTCCCAGTTGCGTGCCCTCCTCTGGGACTCACCTTTCAGACCACAAAAGTTGCCAGACCAGAGAGTCTCAGTTTAGAGAGGTTCACTATGTAGTGGGAAAGGTTGCATTGCTGCTTTTAATACTTGGATGGATGGATGGATTTAGTCTCTTTATATCAGTTTGGCTTCAGTTGGTGCTTTTTGTGAACATTAGTTGAGATAAGAGGACAGGACAATAAGGAATAAATTATTTTTTCCCTTTCACACAGGTCAGGTGTAAGGTCTTATTGCTCAGCACTAAAATAATTACTTGCATTTTATTTAGAGCCTTTCATCTAAAGATCAGACCTCATCCCATCAACTAGATTTGTGTGCACAGACACAATCATACATTTTTATAACAGTCCTCTAATGTGGAATTTAGCACCATTAAACAACCTCCAGCAATACAACACAACAATTCAGGACAAAGATTGAACAATCACAGTAAAAACTACAAAGGAACTTTATTTAGGAGGAATGCAATTGTCAGTTGTGATTTTAGCTAGGATACCAAGAATAATACCTTTACTTTTTAACATAGTGTTAGCAGTATATGAGTATCTTTACTTTAAGATCCAAGGGAGCTACAATAATGATAAATTTGCAATAGTAATTAATTGTGTAACATACATTTGTTAGCTAAAAAGGAATAGAAGCATACAGAGTAACTACCAGTTTGTTTTTCTTATCCCAAATATTACTTTGCTCATTTGAAATCTGCAGTGTAATTTAATATTGTAATAAATACAATATTAAAATACAGTGTTAAGACTATCTATTTTGACAGTCTGGTTATAAAAGATAATTTGTACAGTATAGTTTACATTTGCGCGCAGGGACGTTCAGATTTTTATATGCTGTTTTTTTTTTTTAAGTATTTAAAAGTTATTCAATAAAAAAATTAATTTTGACCTTTCTGAACATTATTATAAAGATGGTTATTACTGGTCAGATCATCTAGATAATTCCTTGCCAGTGCAAGACTTTTCCCATTCATATGTTTTAGAATAGCAGATTGGAAAATATGCTGTAGGGAACAATTCTGCACTGGCAGGTAGGTCCATTAGGTGATATAACAGGTATATTGATGTATTTTCTGTCTCTCTCTTTTGTTTCAATTTTGTGCTGATGTAGAAAAGCATGATTTAGTGGTTAAAGCACAGCTTAATAGGCGTTAATAGACTTAATTAGGGTTCTGTTCCCAACTGTCACATTTCTTGTGTGACTTTAGGTCAGTTTTTTAATCTTTGCTTCCATTTCCTCATCTATGAAATGGGTACATTTACACAAAGTAGATGTGTGTACCTACTGCCCGGGTGTGGTGTTAGGGTAATCTAATCTTTAAATTTCATTGAATTGTTTATGTGCATGGTGTTGTTCACTTTATATACTTCAATAGTATGAATCCTACAAGATCATTAGCATTGTTATAGTTATGAAGATGAGATGATGCCTGTAGGTAAATGTTCTGAAAACTAATACATTCTTTCTCAGACACTCCAATTACAAACTGTAGTTCTCATTTAAAGGATGATAAATAACCTTTCAGCATTCCTCCTTTAGTTCTGTTTATCCTAATGAAGAATTAAATATGTATCCAAAATATATTGTCAGGAATGTTGTATATATTTGTCTTTCTAAGGAATTTAATTTGTGAAAGGCTAAACAAGTTGTTCTTAATAGTTAAACTCTGAGCTAAAACCAGCATGTAAAGATATGAAAATCTGGTAGAATGTCCTCTGGATTTTAATTATCTATAGCAAGAGATTTTTTTTCTAGGAATCACACACAAGAATGCAAGTTATTTTCTGTTCTAGAACGGGTGGGCAAAGGGGCCTCTGCGGGAGGATCTGGCCCACCAAGCAGGTGCCCTGCCACTCCCCTGTCCCCAGGCCAATTAAGACCTGGGGATGGGGGGAATGTGTGATGTCTCTCGCTCCCTGCCTCCTCCTTGCAAGGGGTGCACGGCACTTAGAGTGGACCGATCCACTCTAAGCGCCACGCGCCCCTTGCAGGGTGGGGGCAGGGAGTGAGAGACTTCCCATGTTCCTGATAGACCCAGGGGTGGGGAGTGCGCAAAGTCTCCTTCCATTGCCAGCGGTGCGGGTGCCTAGAGGGAACCACCAGCTGTTCAGAACAGATGGCAGTTCTGTCTAGGTGTGGGGAGGAGGGACAATGACTTCATGTGCTTCCCCACCCTCAGGCCTATCATGGCTGCAGTAGTTTGAGACCAAGCACAAGCTAGGACTGCTTAGTCCTGGCTCAAGCCAGGTCCCAGATGCTGTGACTTTGCTTTTTAAATGTCTTGGCATGTGCCTGGTCCCAGGCCTCTGCGGCTCTGCTACATTTAAAAAGCAGAGGCACTCTTAATACATTTTAAAAACAGAGGTTCAGTGTCCGGGAGACTGGGTGGGAGCAAGGACTTAGCTGTTCTGGCTTGCCCCTGCTTCTAGACTACTGCTGCTCTGCTTTTTAAATGTAGTAAGAGCCACCAGTAAAAAGCAGAATGGCAGTGAGCCAGCCCCCTTATCGACTAATCGAGTAGTTGATGGAAATTCCAAAAACTGCTAGATTAGCTTCCTAACTGCTATTTAACATTCCTACCCTGGACTAGATGATCATAATGATCCCTTTTGTCTTTAGAATCTGAGAAAAAAACCACTGTCCATTTGAGATCACATGAGCCATCTCTGCTCCTATTCACAATTGTATTCTACTTCTATAGCAACTATAACAATAATCATGAATAAGCAATATCAAGAAAATATTTTTAACCTTATTATAAATTAAAGCAGATAGAAACAAAGGAATTAGTCTCAGCCACCTCTTTGAACATCAGTTTTGGGACCTGTACAATGAAACAAAGGAAATCTCAGTGTAATTTTTGTCAAATAATTCCTTTTCTGCCAGTGCAAGTAAAGCTGGAAGGGGCAGTGCTTGACTGTATACCTGGAAACAGATTATTTAAATTTGCAGGTAATAAAGCTTTCCTTTAAAAAGATAATGAACTGTGTTATCAATAGCGGTGAGATTTTGTGATCCCCCTCCTAGTCACATTTGTTTTTTCCACATACATATGAATCAAACAAAGAATATTGTTAAACTTGCCATCTTTTAACTTTTTGTGCTAGCTGATTATGAATATAGTGTTGATGTGGCTTTCATTAATAGTTATTTACGTGAATTTGAATTAGGGATTTGTAAAACAGTGAAATATGGCTTGCAAAAGAGATTTTTCTATAATGTTTGGGAAAGCTTATAAGAATGGGTGATTTGTGTTAATGATTGTACTACATGAGGTATTTTTATATAGGTACAGGCAGTCCCCGAGTTACGCAGATCCGACTTATGTCGGATCCGCAGTTACGAACGGGGCCTGTCTCCCTGGTCTCCAGCAGACCAGGGAGAGGAAGCAAAGCGGCAGAGCACGCGGGCAGCGGACAGCCCAGACGCGTCTGGGCTGTCCGCTGCCCGCGTGCTCTGCCGCTTTGCTTCCTCTCCCTGGTCTGCTGGAGACCAGGGAGACAGGCCCCGTTCGTAACTGCGGATCCGACATAAGTCGGATCTGCGTAACTCGGGGACTGCCTGTACCTATATAAAAATACCTCATGTAGTACAATCATTAACACAAATCACCCATTCTTATAAGCTTTCCCAAACATTATAGAAAAATCTCTTTTGCAAGCCATATTTCACTGTTTTACAAATCCCTAATTCAAATTCACGTAAATAACTATTAATGAAAGCCACATCAACACTATATTCATAATCAGCTAGCACAAAAAGTTAAAAGATGGCAAGTTTAACAATATTCTTTGTTTGATTCATATGTATGTGGAAAAAACAAATGTGACTAGGAGGGGGATCACAAAATCTCACCGCTATTGATAACACAGTTCATTATCTTTTTAAAGGAAAGCTTTATTACCTGCAAATTTAAATAATCTGTTTCCAGGTATACAGTCAAGCACTGCCCCTTCCAGCTTTACTTGCACTGGCAGAAAAGGAATTATTTGACAAAAATTACACTGAGATTTCCTTTGTTTCATTGTACAGGTCCCAAAACTGATGTTCAAAGAGGTGGCTGAGACTAATTCCTTTGTTTCTATCTGCTTTAATTTATAATAAGGTTAAAAATATTTTCTTGATATTGCTTATTCATGATTATTGTTATAGTTGCTATAGAAGTTTAAATCTGCATATTTAGGATTTGAGTTAAGGCTACAGATTAGCTGTTTTGCATGAGTTTGGATATATGTGAGCTATGGGCGGTAAAAACAGGGAGGCAGTGTTAAGATGAGTAACAGATGAGTAAAATGTACAGGAGCGTTGAGTGATTTAGCCGTATTTTCTTTCTTTTGCTGGGGTATGTGCGGATTTCCGAGATGTTTTAATATTAATATAACATGTTTTTATGTTCAAAATTAGTCACATGTGTACCTGTCAATATTAGTATGATTCCTGTAGAATCCTAATGCCTTCCTTATCCCCATACCACTGTTTTCTGACTTGACTCTCCCACAAGTGTTGATTGCTCTATTCTCTGATCCCACTATTTCTCCCACAGTTTACCAAATTCAATTGTATGTTAATCTAAATATTGATTCTCACAATTTTTAAAACCTGAACTTGTTAGAATATTGTGAATGCTGTGTTCCACTCTTTTGGATGTTTATACTGCAATCTGAAGTGTGATTACAGCTCAGATTACTTATGCTAGCATGGTTAATAATAACAGTGAAGATGCAACTGAGCAGGCTCCAGTATCACAAGTAGTTGTTCAGGGTACAGTAAAATTCCAATTGTCCGGCATCCAGTGGTCTGGCACTCCTGATAGTCCGGCACCAACTGGAACTCGGAAGTGCTCCAGCCAGCCAGGCAATT